AAATGTAAATGTCAAGTAAAAGTAAAAAGTATCGTGCAAAAAAGGTACTTTAAAAGTACATTTATTTCAAAAGCTTACTCAAGTAAATGTAACGGAGTAAATGTAACTCGTTACTACCCACCTCTGGTGCTCACACACACAAACTACACCCTTTTTGGCTGCTACCGCAAAGCACACTGTGCGCTGTCGATCTTACGTGCTGCACAATAATGTTTAATATTTAATACTTACTGTTATATTCACATATATGATCGTGATGTTGTTTATTCTATTGCTCTCTTTTTTCTTCTGCTTGTTTTCTTTTTTCTTTCTCAACAGGTGATCCAGGTGATTGATATATGTATTTTTTGTCTGTTTGTTTTGTTGGTTTTGGGGTTTTTTGCCATTTATCACTGTTCCTCTTCCCCACTGTTTTTCTTTCCCTCTTTCTTTCTCTCTTTTCTTTTCCCCAGTCAGGTCTGTCCCATGTTTAGCAAGTGAAAATAAAATAAAATAAACAATAAAAGCAAAGGTGAATCAAATAGACCAATACGGCAAGGCTGCAATGGTCCATTTGGTAAAGTAAATCCGTTGGGCATCTTTCTTTGCCTTTAGACAATAATTCTGATGGCAAAAGAACCAAACGGGACAGGAGAAAAAAAAATGACATATAGCATATCAATAATTTTTCCATTGCCATTCTGTGACCCCCGAGGAAACTTTTGTAGAATGGTGAGTGATCATTTCGCTTTATTTTTTACTGTCTGTTTAAGTTTGTGGTCATAGTGTCCCAGACCTCTTAAAGATACAAATTTGCAATAGGTTCATTTGAGTTTTCGGTGGAAAATCACACATGATTTCTTGTTCAACAGTACAACACTGAGTAATTTGCATTTGACAGGTCAATCGGGATGTTGATGTTGTAAACATACGAAGAGGAAGGAAAATATGCAAACTGGCAGCAGATGTAGTCCAGGAGGACAGAGTTAAAGGACGCAGCACCTCGACATTTTATGACTCTCAGGACTGCTGAGACTGCTGTCTGTCTGAATGCTATTAGTGGGACTTTCATAGTGTCATGGTCTCGGGTTTGTGACCCAGCATTTTGTTGTGGTTTCTTTACTTTGCATTTGTGTTTTTTAGCCATGAGTTTAGTTTTTTCAGGTTTATCAGTATTTCTAGTTTGCTTCGTGTCTGCATCTTGTCCTCAGCGCCTCCAGCGGAAGTCAGTATTGTCTCCTCCTTCACCACAACAGCATTGAGTGACAAGGCTCTGGTTTGGGAACTTTAAAGATCTAGGGCAGGGGTGCCCAATCCCGGTCCTCGAGAGCTACCGTCCTGCAGCTTTTAGATGCATCCTTGTTCCCACACACCCGAATCAAATGAATGGCTTGTTATCAGGCCTTTGCCAAACATGATGGCATGCTGAAGAGATCAAACCATTTGATTCAGCTGTGTTGGAGCAGGGATGCATCTAAAAGCTGCAGGATAGTAGCTCCCGAGGATCGGGCAGCCCTGATCTAGGGACTACAAGAGGTCTGTCCAAAATAGGTCTCCAACCTGGCTGACTGTGATCTACTAATTGTGATCGCCAAAGCATGACAAGGAGAAAAGAAAAGAGATGAAAACATTGATTGTTTAACTGAGAAATGTTTGAATGTTTGAGGATTTGATGCCCAGTCTGAATGTTGTCCAACAGTTTACATTTAAAATGTTTGTAGAAATAAAAATTAAATAAGAATCATCCTTGGGCAGGATACTGAACTTTAAATTGTGAATATTTGCAAACACATTAATGTATAGACAAAAGTGTAACATGAATGTGTGTGATTTGATGAATGAGACTGGAGGAGGGAGCACTTTGTGTTAGTCGATGTAAGTAAAAAAGGTGTTAAGTAAGTACCAGTCAGTTTACTTTTTGTTGGACTTCTGTAGTTTTGAATTTCTTCTAGGATACATCCATCCATTTGCATCCGCTTATCCTTTACAGGGTCACGGGGGGCGCTGGCGTCTATCCCAGCTGTCATAGGGCGAGAGGCGGGGTACACCCTGGACAGGTCGCCAGTCTGTCGCAGGGCCAACACACAGAGACACCATTTGCACTCACATTCATTCGCACATTCACACCTAGAGGCAATTTGGATTAACCAATTAACCTATCCCAACTAAGATACTGATACCTCTAGCATTTATTTTCAAACTGTAGTTTTTTTCCTCTCTTTTTATGTTTACATAGATTTTAAAAAGAGGTGATAGTGTTTCATTTGTTTTGTTTTCCTGCCAGGAAAAAACATGCAAATTCATCTACGCCTCTGAAAGTGTACAAATGGTCTGGTATGCCTTTGCTGCCTCCACATTATTGTTATGGTGCTAGTGCTGGATAAAAATCAACAAACTTTCCACACTCATATGTGACTTCATGACATGAAGTGCTAACAGAGGTTTTTTGTTTGTCTCGTGAATGACAGTTTGAATGATTTAAATTCAGGGCCACACAGGTTTGAGCTGTACACAGGATGCACGTCTCCAAAGAAAGAAGGGGGATTTCCCCTTTTTCTGATTTTTTA